TGGTAATGGAAAACATCTTGCATTGCAATCTTCAACAGGCACCTCCATCCAACCCCTCTCCATTGTCACAGGTGCTCTCCCAGCACACTCCAGCTCCAGGAGATGTTGGAGGTGCTCCTTCAGCCCCTGGGTGCTGCAGGGGCTGGGAATGGCTCCTGAGCTGCTGACTCTGAACCTGTTCAGCTTCTTCTTTTTCTAATTCAGTTGTGAAAATACATGAACATGAAACTCCACCAGGGCTCAAGACAAGCTCCCAAACCCCTTCTCACCCCCACTGTTTCCCCCACACCAACCCCACTATCTAACAGGAACTTTTTTTGTGTTTCTTGCAGCAACGTGGACACGGAGAAATTGTGTGGTAAGTCAGGGATGTTCCTGCCCTGGAGAGCTTCCCCTCCCCAGGTGTTTGTGGTGGGGTGTGTCTGAACTGGGCGGGACTGGGTGGCTCCAAGGTCCCTGTGGCTGGATGCCAGGGGAGAGGTGTCTTGGTTTGAAAAGCCAGGTGTCTGCTCAGGAAGGCAGGAGCTTCCCCTACAATGGAAAATGCATTTTCCCTCTGAATTATTATAATTTTGAAATCATAATAATAATTTCAAAATTATTATTATAATTTCAATATCACAATAAATTTTATTTATTTATTATAGTTTAATATTATATTTTAATATTTTAAATTAGAATTATTTCTATTATTAATTATAATTAATTATATATAACTAATTAGATAATTTAATTATAGTTATATTTTAATATTTAAATATTTTAATATTTAGATTTTAATTATTATAATTTTGAAATTAAGGGGCTCTCAGGCAAAGATATGGGAATAGGAATAACAGTTCTTTATTAGGGAGGAAAATAAAAATAAAATAAATCATGCAGTAATACCAAACTCCACTGCCAGAGTGATCACAGGCCCTGGCCCCTGTGTGTCAGGGGGTGTCCCAGCCCCATCCCATGGGGGCTCAGCCCTCCTGCAGTGCCAGCTGTGGCTCTGCTGCAGCAGGGATCCTGCACAAGGGGGGAGTTTTCCTCTGCAGCTCCAGGGCTGCTGNTTTATACTATACTTCATACTTAAATATATATACTCATAAATATACTTTTTAATATGTATATATAGTATATATACACTATATGTATATAATGTATATTTACTATATATTTTTATATACTATATTTTAATATCTACTATATGTATAGAATATATATAGTAGATATAGTGTATATATAGTATATATAATAATATACTATATTATTATAGAGTATAGTAATATGTGCTTTATTTATAATATATAAAAATATACAGTATATATAGTTTATATGAAATATAAATATTATATAACATTGTTATATATTTTTTATATATTATATAAAATATATAGTATATATAATGTATACTATATATATTTTAATATACATACTTTATATATAAAATATATACTTATATACTTTATACTTATACTAACACTTTAAAAACTTATTTTTAGCTTCATTTCTCTCAACAATATCTATCTTATTCTATCATATTTCTAAGTTAACATTTCTTATCTCAATGTTTACATACAAATATCTACTATGTGAGCCTACTGTCAGATTTTAAGAATTTTCTATAAATCCCACACTGCAGGAGCTCTGTGTGTGTGTGAGCAGCAAACCCGCTCCTGGTTGTTTTTATGAATTTACAGGTCAGCAGGAGGAAACCAAACCATTAGGGGTTCCCATGCCTCCATCCTCCCTCACTAGGAACATGCTGAAGAAAATTTGCCTTGTGAAGAAAAAAGAGTTTTTCCTTCACATTCTGTCGTTCCCACTTATTTGTAAAATATAACTTGGTAGCTGTGCTGTAGTGTGCTAATTACACCTTATTTTGTGGCTGAACTTCGTGTTTGCAATGTAATTGTGTAGGGGTAGGAGGTGAACAGAGGAAACAGCTCAGAAAACAGCCTGATGTTTCTCACAGGGGGTCTGTGTGCTGAAATCTTTCCATTCCTCAGTGTGCAAACACTGCTAAACCCTCACATAAATACTTCTCTGAGCCAGGCAGCCTCATTGACCCTCTGACAGGAATTATGTGGCCACCCATTCCATTCTGTCCTGAGCTCAATATCATAATAAGAAATCACTAAACCCCTCAAAAGCAGAATTATAGCAGCTCTTGGCAACTTGGTGATTTTTAGTTGGGTAAACAGAGCTGAAATACCAGTGCACCACCAAAATTCCTTTGTCTTGAGCTTGCTGAGTTATTTCCTTTTCCATGAGCACAAAATGCTATGCTTGGTGAGTTTATTGATAAGAGGGTTTGACCTCTGTGCAGCATCTGATGAGAGGATTTTGTATTTTTGCCCCAAAATGAGGAGTGCAATGGGGACTGGATTTTAAGTTCTTTCTCTCCCTGGCACAAATTTTCCCAAATTGCTGCAGAAATGTGGAGCAGCATTTGGAGCTCTCCTGGGGATGGTTATTTCCAGCACGTTCCCCTGGGTGTGCTGTGTTTGATGAGGCAGCTGGCACTGCTGCCATGTCCCCATGGGACCCTCTGCAGCCACGTCCCCTCCTGGCACAGCCTGCCCTGGGCTGCCAGGGGGGTTTGGGGGCTCTCACCCCTCACTGCTGCCTGTGCCTGTGTGTTTGGGGTTGTCAGGAAAATTAACCCACAAGCATCAGAGGTTTATGTCCAAAAAGGAGAGAGAGGAGTCCTTTTGCTTTATTCCAATAAAGGGAGAGGACATGGGGCATTCCCCTGGGGTCTCTCTAATTTTTGGAGGACTCGGCCTCCTTTTTATCTCAATTTCCCAGCCACATTTCCCTTCTCTCTTTCCCCACTGGCTGAGGTACTTGAGAGTTACAAACTGAATCACCTGATACTGAAGATTTCCCTCTCATATATAACCCTCCCTTTTGATTTTTAATTCTTATGGAATTTAGGGGGTTTTCTTCTCCTTTGTTTCTTTCATCTTTCAATATCCAATTTCATTTATCAGCAAACCTACAGTTTATTTGTAAAAGCAAATATCTTTTTCCATTCATCAATCAATGCAATCCTTCCCATTGTTTCTTTCATTGTTTATCTACCAGCAGACCCACATCTTGTTTTAAAGACAAATCCACTATTCCTCTCAGGGTGTAGGGGCTGCCCTGGGTGAGCTGTGGGGCTCAGGGCAGGTGGGATGTGGTGTTGGCAGCAGCTCTGCCCCTGCCATAAAACTCCATCCATGGGGGATGTGGGGCTTGGGGCATTCAGACGGGAGCTGAGAGGATGAGGAGTGCTGGGAGGAAGGGTTGGTGCCAGATTATGCTCTTTTCTGACCCAGAGATGGGGCATCTGAGAGGTGTTTTAAAAACTTATATTCTATTTTTAACAATACAATAACAATATTCTTCTTTAACAATACAATTTTGTACAGAGTTTCAGTACAAAAAATTTCCATAATTAAATGTTACTCCTCATCAACTTGTATAAAGAAACTCAGGTTTGTAGTGCAATTGTACTAGCCCAGTACCCCCTAAAAATAAAATTGCTAGGCTAAGTAAATTCTCACAGGAAGAGGAGTGATGTGGTTGGGGAGAAGCCTCCAAGCCCCAGGGCAGGGGAAGTGTCTGTGTTCCCAGGCTGGAAGGACACCTCAGGGAAGGGAGCACACCTCATTTGCTTGATGCTGGGGGAAGGGCCCTCAGTGGTGCCAGAGGGGTGACAGGGCTTGGATTTGGATTTTGGGCACTGAAACTGATGCCTTGTGAGGGCTGACCTAGAACAGA